GTTACGCTCACCTTTTACGAACGTTCACTTCGATTTGTCTCTGTGGCGTGTTTTGCCTCCTCCGCCTCGCCTCGCTTCGCCTCAACTTCCCCCTCCCATGCCGTCCGTATTTTAATAATGACCTTGTTTTATTTGAGTCGTTTGATTTCTCGTCGACCCCGTTTCTATGTGCGTGCTATTTCGATACTGTTCACGCGTACATTAGTTACTCCTCCGGCTCGCATGTAATCAGCTTGCATAATTTGTTTGCCACCATGTAATGTTCTATCTGTCATGTGTGTGTGTATTTGAGAAACAGAGTCGATTTGACTACTGCTTCGCTGCTCGACTGCATTCGCTTTTCTTAATGAGATACGTTTTCCGTATGTTGTTTTTATCCATCTCTCTGTGTGCTTAGCCTCATTCAAGACGGATCCATTCTCAACCCCATTAATCAAACGTGCATTCGCGAATACACGGAAGTTGGTGGTCGACGTTATACTGTTCGTGAGTTAGCTTGCAATACGCCATTATCTGGTCCAAATCCATTCTCCATGAGAATGTACCCGTGGTAAGTGGATGCACGTTAGCTTTTCATTACTCTGTTTCAATTTCATCCTTTGTTCTATCCATCGAATTTCTCGACTCTTTATCGCACGATTAGCATGCGTACCATGTTTGATACTCCTTTTTCTTAGTATGAGAACAAAACGATTGTTTTATATTTGGTTTCCCTCATGCCCTGCTATTTCTCATTCGTTCGATTATCGCATGCAAATCTGGAGACTGCATGCCTACTCCTTTCATTTTGAGGACCCATGGTGTTCGCCTCCTTTCCCCTGTGCGGATAGTCGCGCTTGCTCTGTTCTCCAGTCAATCAAATCAACCGAAAATCGCTTGCCTAATCATTCGATCATCAAAAATAGAATCCGCAATCGTTATTACTCCCCACCCGTGTGGTGCTCACCCCGCCTCTCCGTAACGTGATTCACGTTCCATTTCACCCCTGGCTTGTGGATAGTGCATCCCTGCTGATCTCGACTGCTCGTGATTTTCTCAGTTATAAGTGGTTTGCGTTTCCTTATCACCAGCTCTAACTCTTTCGGGGCCAGCCGTGGATACGCTGCCTCAACAGCTCGTGGTAAAGTGACAAATATTTGCCAACTACACCCGCTGTCGGATTCACCTCAGTCTAGTAGCAGTGGAAGTAGTGTTGCTGCACATGTTCCCACTGGTACAAGAAGAAACCAACCTGATTTTCGTTATGCTCCGGGCAGATTCATGGTACGTCTCTGGCACGCAGGGTGTAACAAGTTCAAATGCAGATTGTAAATTGCACCATGACTAATAATCCTATAATTATGCAATCGCCCCCGGAAATGTTTCTGTAATTTGTTTTTATGATTTGCAATAGATATCCGTAAGGTTTTTCCCACAAGGTAGGCACACACTTAATTACCAAATATCAACCGTTAATTACAAGGTAAAGATGTAGTCTTTAGAGTTATGTGCAAGTGATATTTATTTGCATATAAAAATATTGCATAATCAACAGAATAAAATATACATCAACCAAAAATATATTTGATTTTATTATTGTATCTAGCGTTTTGGGTTTTTCATATAGAGATTGGTGATATGGTTCCCCATTAGGTATACAAATTCAACATTTAATGTGATACCGAATGCGAGTATATTCATTTCTATTTTGAGATGAGAAAATATATTTCGATTCCGTACTGTAGAGGCGACTAACATGCGAAGTTGACCTTGCTCTCGGCTGTCTGGAAACATACATATTAAATAATTACTTTGTCCTTCAAAGGCTCACAAATCTCGCATGAAATGTGGTATGGTCCTTCATCATGATTAGTATTCGATTTCCCCGAACAACAACCGTAAACTGGGTTGTTTAACTACCTACCGTTTGCTTTTTGTTTTGATGGGATAGAATTTTTGAGAAATTTTTCACACATCCATTACAGTTAAGAATGCTTCTGGTGATTGGGTCGCCGATCGTTCTCCGAGGACTGAAATATTCGTCTCTCTTTTAATTTCATCGCTATTCCTTCACAACCCAAACTTTTCCCCTCTGAATTAAAACCGGTAATATGCGCCTGGAACTGTGTGCTAGGTACGTTCAAGCCACTTGAACCAAATGGTATGCTATCAATCGTGCTGAAGACATACGCGGCAAAGGTTACCTCTATCCTCCGTTTCCCTTTCTCTGAATCTTTCACTGTAGGTGCTCCCCAGCTGTTGATATGTTCCCATCCCGTAATGAGATGCATTTTGAGATCGAATCAATTACCGCTGCTTCCCTTGCACTTCGTCTCTGGTGCTTACCAGATCCGCTCACCGAAATATTGTATCTGGATTAAGGCTTTCTCTGCCATTCTGACCCTTTAGAATGTTTAACGTAAAGTCATTCACCTTGTCGCTGATCCGCCCCCAACATCCATTCCTCAACCACTTGCCCATCGCTGTGTTATCCCTTTCTTATCTCTTTTCTACCTTTATCCCCCAATCTTTGGAATGGCATATTTGGTACCTTCAACACTTTCATTCACTCGCGAGAACGGATCATCAGCTTGGCTCTACAAACTTATAGGAATGCAGTGTTCGATTACTAGTTCTTAAGACTCACAAAATTGCGGAAATTTTTTCCTTGATCTATTTTTTCTCATTATACAACTATCTCATTTGCAACACCAGGTATATTTTTTATGACAGCCCTTTCAAAAACAGTCCATTTGTTATGATTAGATGTTTTGTAGTTGGTTTAGATGATACTAACCGCAATAAATCTTGCTTTAGCTTCTTTGTAGAAAATTGCTCAAAGAAGCTTATATATAATTTTGGGTTTAATAGCACTCCTCTCTGTTCGTTTTCCGAATGGTGGGAGTCTAGCGAAGAAATAGTCATCGGCGGAAAAGTTCAACCTTACATTGCTAGACTCAACCTGATTTCATCTACCGTAACCGAAGTGTGATATGCCCTGGTGGCGGGTTCGTCTGTACGCATTTATTCTCATCTCTCTACGCATGCGTGACCTTTCTTAATTCTTTCACCTTTTTACTCTCCACAGATCGAAACCCGTCAAAGTTTCCCAACCGCTCGCGATTCTGCCATGGGACGGCTTTTAGTCGCGGCTAATTCGGTTAGCGCTTTAACAAGGGATCTTCGCAAAAGTCTTGAAGATATATGCGGTGATGCAAATTTCATATGAATAAAGATCCTCACGGAAAAGGATGGACCGTGTACCTTTTCATCCACCTATCCCTGTACTTTTCATATTCAAGATGGTCCTGTTACTGAAATCCACTATCCCATTGCGCCCATCTGAATTACTGTAGTTAGTGTTTCTGCATTCGCCTACTCATTTCGGATATAAGTAGTCGGACTTGAAATGCAGCTTCGAGTCAATCTGTGATCTCCCATTACCCTTCTATACCTTCGGCCATGTCCTTTTGTGGTACCCATACTGCATGCTCGCACAGCTGTCACTGACCGACCAATGCAGAATGTTGTTTTGTTCTTCAGTATTTTATGGACAATTTTCAACTTTCTAACGTTTTTCTCAAGTATCTACTTGCTTTGTCACAATTACCTTCCATTCATTAAAACAAAACCTCAGACTCAGACCTTTTGTGTTCCTGACCATCAGGCTGGGAGATCCTATATAGCTCCATCCGATCCGGACGTTCCTGTGGTTTACATTGCAAAATATCTGCACAGTTCAGTCGTCGCAACACCATAATCATGTTCTGCTGATCCTGTTCATTGCACATTAGAGTTGATTAAATTGACAACCTCTATTTCGAAACCGAGCTTGAGTGATATTTGATGTGTTCGACTGCAAACTATCTATCACTGGATAGCAGATATCTGTTGTTCTTCAGACCTCGACCAAGTATGCAGATTGAGGTCGGCTTTCTGGTCTGATGTGTGCTAGCATGTAGCAGGGTCCGTAGGGTAAATCAAAATAAATCAGATGTATCTTGAAATCCTTCCGGGAAAAAACTGTTATGATGTGTGTTCTTCCTTGAAACAGCTTTGCGGCTCACGCCAGACTTCTCTCCGTAAGTTGAAGAGTTGAATCGTCAATCTGCAAATATATCTGTGGCCAACTCAGTATTACTCTCATTTACATCGTCTGAAGAGGGCCACTTTTACTCCGGTACGAGTTTTGAAGGTGCTAAATCGCTCAAGTTTAACAAGGCACAGGTCCCTGATTCTTTATCTTCTATTTAGTTGAAAATGTGTGCCAAACAACTTTTCCTATCTATTTCCCAGTTGTTTTTGTCTTCTGGAAGTAATCCTGATTGCTCGAGAGCCCCCCCGCAATAACATCCAGTACCAAGCATGGGTCATAAATGTGCCGACCGGTTGTGTGTACATCAACACTATTTCAAGTTTTAGGAGTGCTTGTAAGCCGGATAACTCTGCTTGTTGCTCTGGGCGCTCTTTAATTTGCTTACAAACCTCTTGCCGCATTGGCGCACCACTTAATCGTGGCATTCTCGTTCATCTTCTTTGGGATTGCTGCTCGGGGTCTTATGCGTTGAATCGCCTTTATCGGTTGGTTCTCACATAGGATGCAATTCACTTTTTCTAATGGTAAATCTTCCTATTTGCTGGATATCAACTCGGTTTTTTGAAGTGCTATTTGTCTCCGTTTTCTATGTAAGTAAACAATTTTCCATTCCCTCCAACTTTAACGTGTGCAAGTATTCTGATGGCATGATAGTCGGAGGTCCCTCAGATGGTGCTGATACTTTCGGCTTACTTCAAGGCTGTCGACACCAAATTTTCAGTATGTCTGCACCCGGATCTTTGATGATCAAAATGGATAAATGTGTGGTTGTTCCTTTTGATCCCAAAACACGTATTCATAAACCAATTGAAAGCGTTTACATTAGGGTTTGTAGGCTATCCTACACTTTCAAGGCTTGACATTCCTTTGCATTATTATTCCACACTAGTTTTACTGTTCGTAAGTATTTTTTCGTCGTTTAAAGGAAAAATTTTATTCTCTTCTCCAGATCTCTTGAACGTTTTTCCCGTTGCAGTGGTATTTCCAATACCGTTGTGGTTTATTTCATTATGTGCAAGCATTTTTATTCATGTCATAGATTTGTCAGCCATATGCTGTCAAATGAAGAACACTGCCTGTATGACCATCCCAATAAATCTGTATTTCATCCAAATACGCGTTCCAAATCTAGGATTCTTCGTATACGTACTATCTTATACCGAAACAGCATTATCCTCTGCCTTACTCGTTTCTCTGAAGAGAAGACAACTATCTATACCGAATTGAAAAATCACTTATGGCGTTAGTTTTCTTCAAGACTTCAACTAGTTTTTCATTTATTAATCTTTTCATGCATATGTATAAGTTGTAATTTTGAAACGCAACGATGTCGGTACAGGTGGAAATAAGCCGACGTTTCGGTTACCGTGGCTAACCTTTATCAAGGCGACTTTACAATCGAATGAGTCAGGAACAGTTTGCGAACTGTTACCAAGGTAGCAACTGGTTGACCGCATTTCATCTTGGGTTTGTCATTATCGCTGCTTTGGTTAGCCCTTTTTTGAAAGCCTTCATCCGAAAGTGAGTTGCTGAAATAAACGTGTCCCCCACCGGTGGTGTTCTATGACAGCCGAGGCTGCCCGTTTTCAACCTGCAAACATTCAGTCGAATGGTTCCGTACTCGTGTCATATGTACATGTTCAGCCCGTCACCTGTCGATCGGTTTGATCAATATGAATGTTTGTACAATTAGAACAACCCTTGGCTTAGGTCACTTTCTAGCTGTTTGCTTTATCACCAGGATTCTTTAGTCTCAAAAGCCGTGAATGAATCGTGTTCTTTGTTTGGAATGCAACTCGTTTGATTATGCCGTGTCTCTTCAGAAGTACCGTGGTAATGTGGTGCAAAACCTTTCAATTCCTTTCTCCTTTTTGCGCCCTTTTTAAATTTTCTTGGGAAACTTTCGGGGGGAGGGGGTCGGCCATTTCCTTGTTGACCTTCAATGACAACATCTAGTCCCTTTCTTTTCCCTCCTAAACAATTTTATCATCTGCTTGCCTTTTTGTGTTCATCAGATTCGGGACGCAGTTGCTTTGAAGTTGACAGAGTGTTCGGATTGGTAGTTCAATTATCTCATAACGCTTTTTACGTTCCGGTGTATTCCTACCGAACTGGATCTGACGACTTCTTATGCATTCGACGAATCAAAATTTATGTTATTCTCGGTTATTTCTGGTGTGAACTTGGTCTGATCATTGAAGTTATTTCAGGTCTCAGTGAATGCATGCACATATTCTTTTGTTTGATATCTTAAGTGTCCTCCATGAACCCTGACCAATTTCGTAATCAATATTGACTGAACTGCAGTAACTGTTGGTTGAAGTTTGCATTAGTAGAGTTGGTGGGGTGTGCCATAGTTGTTTATGATCAACCTGTTGCCCCAACCTTCGCGTAGCTGTGTCGCAACATCCACTCACTGTTTTCTGTCTGACCACCTTTCTGGCTGTTGGACAGTTCCGAGGACCGCCACTGATAACATCCTTCAAATATGCATTTGTGCGCACTGTTTTTGAAGTAAACTGCCAAACCTACGGTCTCCTTGAATCCATTATTTCGTTTCTTCGTTATCTGAGATAAATGGGTCATGAATCTAGTCTAGAATGTTTGTTTCCCCGATAATCACCATCTCGACGATTCGATGAATAGTCTTGGATCGAAACCCATGAAAAACGCCTCCCTGTGTTGTTGACATTATAACATTCAGAATAAAACGACTCATGGCGCATCGATTTTTCCATGCACTCCTAACATTATTTGCTCCTGATGTGTTAAAATAAGGAACAATGTATAAATAATTGTGCGATCCTGCGGTGAAATTACAGAACCGTTAGGCTACTAAGCAAATGGTGCTCATTTCAAACAAATGGATTACCAACTGAAAATTTTGAGTCAAAATAAGGGATATGTGACAGCCTTAATTGCATCATCAAGATAGAATCAAAGGAACCAAACAACCTTTCTGGCGGGCTTTGATTCTTCACTTGCTCGAGTATCCAAAAGCTCTTAGCAACGTGGAACATCCAGAATGTTTTCTTGATACTGACCTCATGGTATGTTGATAGATTCCTGGTATTTGCCCTAGCAGGAAAATTGTTTGTGTGCATGGTTATGATTTGGCAGCACTCAGCCGGTTGTGTTAGTTAATTTAAATACCTTCATCTAATCAGTGAATCGAGAAAATTTTCCCTCGTGGATTTTTTAAGCAGTTCTGTCATCTAGCAATAAAGTCATGCATTGAAGACTTAATTTAATCTGAGTTTTCCTTTCTCAACACTGTTTCTCAAG